AAAAGATACATTTTGCAGTGTCCTGTTTTGCCGTGATTATCTCCCTTAGACTACAACATTCGAGTAGAAGCTTTGTTTTTTTTAATTAAACAGTATTTTTAAACAACTACATCTGGCCTGAATATTCGAGAAAATATGCGTCCTCCCAATTAAAAAGAAAAATATGTCAGATTTCATCCATTTCCTAAAATATATATATATATATATATATATATATAAAAACAAAAAAAACATACACTTCTGGTCAAACCAAAAATAGAATTATTTATATTATTGCACTGTAGAAAAAATTTTAGAATCTTAAAATTAATCTGCAAAACTGAAAATTAAATAAATTACTCTTGATTGAGCAATTTTGTGAAATGCTCCAAATTTTACTTTTCCTCATTTTCATCAAAGAAAATTGCAGACCTACCATACATATATATATATATATATTTTTTTTAGGCTATTACACCGCTCATCATATATATATATATATAAAAAGTGAACATTGAAGTCATCATTCAGAGGCAACAGGCTGTTTCATGCTAGACACAATTGTCATGACAGCCTGTCGCCTCTGAGTGTTGACTTCAATGTTCACTTTTATATTTATATTTACATATACTCTATCTGTGATATTGAGCACTTTATCCCATAAATATAGCACACCTTAAAACTATATTTCTTCATATATATATATATATATATATATATATATATATATATATATATATATATATCTGTTGTCTCTATAAATAAATAGAGAAATTCTAATAGTATGTATACAATATTTGTACATAATAATTCAACTTGTAAGATTTGTTACAAATTTGTACAATTTTTTATTCATTTTACCCCAAGCAAGCCTGAAGAGTGTTCTACAAGCAAGAAGTATGAGGGAAAATAAACTGTTAGTATAGAAATTATGGTTACAATGAGCAAATTTCAACTGTAAAATGATGAGACTTATCTGCTCATCTAATACTGCACTTAAATTTGTAAATTTGTTAATTACCAAAGAGGAAAGCTCATTAGAACAATTACCATGAAAACATTTATAGAAAAACTAGGTTAACCACTGATGTGTTAACAGCTATTACTGAATTTGTCTATCAAGCTTTAGCTAAAAATGTCAAGGCTTGGCCTGTGGCTTTAGATATCTTGAAGGTGTTTGACAGGATTTAACATGCTGGCCTTCACAAGTTCAAGGTCTATAGTGTCTCTGGCCAAATATTTGATTTGATCTAATTGTTCATAACAAATTGTGTAATGAAAGTCATGTTTCTAGATCATTTCACATTAATGTGAGGGTCCCCCAGGGCTCTATCCATGGACTTACATTGTTTTTATCTTCATCAACAATCATTGTCATCATTTCCCAATTAGGTATTTGTGCTGATGACAACTATTTACTCATGTCTCTTAATAATAAGTTCAATAGATCTGACAAAAGTGGCAGCTGATCTTGAAAATAACCTCCAATCAGTTGTTAACTGCAGCAAGAAATGGTTTGCAAATTTTAAAACCTCCAAAATAAAACTGCAAACTTTTAATCATCATGAGAACCATTTTGTGTTCCATCAACATGGCTGATGCTAAAATTCAGATTAACTCATTATGTCTTCTTAGTCTTATTAATCCTCAGTTTAAAACATCACTGATAATGTGTGTCAAAGCATCAAACAAATGTATTTTACAGATTATATTGAATCAATTGCTAGCTCTACTGCTTGGAAAGCTGGTTCACCGTGTTGTGCCAGATAGTTTTTCCCATCAGAATATTTTGCACATTTATAAATCAATTATTTGTCCATACATGGAATATTGCTGCCATATCTGGTCTGGTACTCCAGCTATAAATCTTGAGAGTCTCAACAAAATCCAAAGAATGGTATATAATTTAATTGTCCCTGACCAGCCATCTCAACTTCAGTGTCTCTCCCAATGCTGTGGCATGGGTTCCCTCTGCCTTTTCTATAAATATTTTCATGGCAGATGTTCTGATGAGCTCTCTTCTTTGATACCTTGATTGCTTGACTTTAAGCGTATTACTAGATTGGTAACTAGGTCTCACTGTTTTCAGTAGAACTTGTTACATGTAACCATAATTTCTATTCTAATATCTTCTTTTCTCACACTTCTGATCTAGGTAACTCTCTCCCAGTTTCCTGCCTTCCTGCAACCTACAATTATGAAAAATTTAAATACAATGTCACCATCTTTTGTCTTCCTGAATACTTTTCTTTTATTGTCCTTTCTCCTTATTAAAGTATTTTCATTCTCTTTTAGTAAACTCTAGCATCTTAGTGACTTTGTTTGGAGTGAAATGATTAAACCAACGCTTCTTAAACTATGAGTCACAACCCCAACAAAGTGAAATGCTGGGATCACAAAAATTAAATTCAAACAGTTGAATTTCAATTTATATGTTATTTTACAAATGCACAATATTTAACGTGATGCAAGCACTGTGGTAATAAAACGTGCATATGGTGCTGTTGCAGTGACAATGTATATATTTTCAGTGTAGTTGGTTAATACCTGGGGTTGTGAAAAATATTGTGATGAAAAATGGAGTCATGAATGAAAAAAGTTTAAGAAGCAGTGGATTAAACGAAGAAGTATGGGCAAGCTATGTTACAGTGATGGGAAAGTGACAGAAGCTGAGATGCTTATGGCCACATCACATTGAAACACCATTTCCCATATGATCACTGAAGTTAAGCAACATTGAGCCTGGTCACTACCAAGATGAGTGACTGCTTGGGAATATCAGGTTCTGTAAGCTTGGATGTGCAGGTGGTGTAATGGAATTGTTAATCAGGAAGCTGAGTTCCAATTTCAGTTTGTTTAATGAAGTTAGAACTGGTGGAACTAAGGAATGTAGTTTATCTGAGCACTTTCCATAGAAATTGGGACAGAGCAGTGAGAGGACCTGCTACCTACTCCACAGAGCCATTTCACCCCAAGCAAGGTGGGAGTGCCACTAGCATGCAAGGGGATTACAGAGAGTGAGAGTAAGAAAAAAGACTAGGTATAGGGTGGGATTGAGGAAAGGATAAAAGGAGAACTGGGATTAAGACAGCAGAAGATGGTGATTGACATTTAAATTAAGATTGTAGTTATCAGGGAAGCAAGTAAGAGGAAAGGCATTCAACTGTTGAGAAGTGCAAGAAAAGAAACTGTTGGAATAGAAGTGGAGGTTACATTTAACTATTTCAACAATAAAAAGGGTGGGATCTAGATGCCAATCTAGTAGCATGCTTAAATTCATGTAGTCAGGGCACCAGGGAAAAAAAGCTCATCAGAGCAGTTGCCATGAAAATATTTGTAGAAAAGACAGAGGGAAGCCACATCACATCTGTGAGAAAGTAACTGGAGTTGAGATGCCAAGTCAGGACTGATTACATTATAGATCCTTCTTTGGATTTTGTCAAGAACCTCGAGATGAACAGCAGGGGCACCTGACCAGATATCACAATAGTATTCAATGCATGGATGAGTGGTAGATTTGTAGATGCATAAGATGGATGCTGATGAGAAAAACCTTCTGGCATGACAGAGTGAACCAATTTTCCTTGCAGTAGATGCAGCTATTGATTCCATACAGTTGTTTCAAGTCAGTTGAAAATGTGAGGCCAAGAAGGTGCAGTGAGACACTCTCCTGGAGTCAAGCATCAACTGTGCTGATGATGGGCAGGGAAGTTTCTCTGTGGTGGTTAAATGAGAACAGTTTTATTTTGGAGGCATTAAAATTTACAAGCTATTTCTTGCCCCAGTTAACCACTAACTGGAGGTCCTTTTCAAGAGCAGCAGCAGAGCCAGGTTAAATTTGTCAGTGCTGCCTGGTTTACTATTGTGACAGGAGTAAATGTGGTAGTGTCAACTGCATAGATGCCTATTTGGGAACTGATGACCTCAGGAAGATCATTGATGAAGATCAGAAACTGTGTAGGACTCAGGATAGAGCCTTAGGGAACACCCATGTTGATATGAAAGGATCTAGAAGAGGGCCCATTCAGAATGACCTTCATTTCACAATTTGATAGGAATGATTGGATTAAATCAAACAATCATCCTGTAATACCGTAGACCTGAATCTTATATAGAAGACCAGTATACCAAACCCTGTCAAATGACTTTGAAATATCTAGAGCTACAGCTCAAGCTTTGTTATTATCAAGAGCTTGATATATATATTCAGTTGTGGCTGTAAGCACATCAGAAATGATGGCCAAGATCAGCGACGGGGTTATGCACATAATCCCTCATTAGATCCTCAGTTCTAGGGGGAAATCTGTTGTGGGTATTTTGGATGAGTCATGTGTTGAATTGGATGAGAATTTCTGAGCAAACCATTCAACCTTATCTGTTGTAGATGTTAGGACTTCAAATTGACTGATTGAGGACTTGCTATTGTTCAACACATTCTTACAGATCTGCCAATAATCTGTAGAACCAAACTTGCAAGATATTATATATTGTTTCATCCTATCAGCAAACAGTGACTTTGCTTCATTGATTACACACTTGCACTCCTTATGAGCTGGAAAACAATATTAAAGCAAAGAAGATTCATCGGGAGCAAAAGAAACTGCTGTAAGCAATATTCAGTCAATTATGTGCCATGTGTGATACACACTTAGGCGATCATGTATCTTTCAATACACAGCTGAAAAGGCAGATTTTTTCCTGCAGTAGGTTGCCATTTCTTTCTGCAGTAGACCAGTTGCCATCCAAGGCTATAGAATCTGGTCTGTCCTGCTATTTATTCACAGCTCTGGAGAAGAAGAGGATTCGTACCTTTCCCAAGCTCGTAAGTGAATATAATAGATTTGACTGGAATTCAAACTTGGCTCTCCAATTCCTCAATCTGAGCTGCTATCCATTACTCCACCGTGCCTCCGCTTAAGCAATATTAAAGAGTTGAAACAATAGAAACGTTTAAAAGTTAATGATCACAAAATTGATGAAGAATATAGAATGTCAATGAGCCCAAATTAACATGGCTTATAGCCACATCATGTTGAAACATCAGTTCCCATAGGATCACTGAAGTTAAGCAACATTGAGCCTGGTCAGTACCTAGATGGATAACTGAGAATACCAGGTGCTGTAAGCTTGGATCTGCAGGTGGTGTGACTACTGTCAGTGAGAGAGTGTGTGGCTTTCGGATTTTCTCTGAACATAAATTCTACAATTCTATTTTCACAAGTATAAAAGTGACTCTTCTTCTCTCTCAGGTAAGTGCTTATATATCTACCTGTTGTCTAATTTTTTCCACATGTGCACATTTTAGTTGTAGCTGGGTCAATCACATGTTTACATGCCAGGGGTAGCCACTGATATCTATTGAATGTGCAGATCTGCACCTGGTAGCTAGAAGGTTATCTTTCAGGTCAACCCACTGATGTACCTAGCTTCTTTGAGGAACACTGAGTGTAAAGTCTGTTTTGGCATTAACTCAGGTGTGTTATTTTTTTTATCATTATTTAGCAATTTTCATGTTCTTCAGTGACATAAGAGAGCAGATTTTCCAGCATTATTATTATATATAAAATGACTTTATTCTGTTGTTAAAATTTGCATAAATTCTTGACCCTTGACAATCCCTTTTTTCTGATTTTCAGTGTTCAGCATGCATTGTTAGCAACCAAATGTGCTAAAGCAAATTTCAAGTCAAGAAATTTCAAATTATCAAACTTGTTTCTCCATCACTAGATATATTTTATTTAGTATTGAAATAAACAGAGTAATGGTAATGTCAGTGGGCAACAATAAAAGCAGAAACCTTGCCAATGCAGACTGGATTCATATACAATCAGTTCTAAAATACAAATATGTTTATTGTTTCATTCTCCCTTTCACAACCATAATTTTCTGTGCTACTAAGCATGTAATGATCAAAACAAATCAAAGTTTTAATGCATTTATTTAATAAATTCTGCCTATGCTAAAGCAGGTTATATAAACAGTCAGTTCAAATTCTAAAAGTATACTTCCTTCTTGTCATAATGGATTCTTGACCTTGATGTTACCTCAAAAAAAAAACACATGGTGTGTGATTCTGAATTTGGTGACTGGGATGACAGGCTGATTTCTAAAAATAGTGCCACAATGTGAATAATTGACAACCACACATCTGACTAACTTCTGGTTGAGCTCTCATTAATTCATCTGCACTTGCCAGACCTCTAACTGAATTGTCACTAACTAATCATACTAACTTTTGAGTGGACGACAACATGTAATATATATTAGCATCATACTGACTACTGATAATGATTTGTTTATATAGTGATAATAAACACATTTGTTGACTATTATAATTTTAACTTATGTTAAGGATTTTGTTATAACACTTGAAAAATGGTGTTCCCTTCAGAAATAAAATAAAGAATCAACATCAAATCTATTCTTTTCAAATGTTCTCATATTTTGTGAGTATGTGGGAAAAAAGGACAAATTCTGAAGCAATTTGCATGTGATTATTTTCACTACATTTTTCAAAGACAGGAAATGTTCCTGAATCAGGGAAAAGTTAACCATTTGAAAACAATCCATCTTGCTCAAAAGTGAGTCAGAAGAGGAACAAGATGTGATCATGACAGAATGGGGTAAAACGGTATGAAGAAAAAGGAAGAAAAAAGGAAGAAAAAGGAAAAACAAAATTAGAGAATAAAAAGAATGTATCTCATGTGCCAAAATGATTCTTAGAAGAAAATGGCAGGCTGAAGATCTATATCTCTGCAATTCAATCCTGAGTTTCAACATGGATACAATTGGGTCTAGTATATTTTTTTAGATTAAGATGCCAATATTTTCAATGTGGTAGTTGAATATTTTGTTAGTGTGATGCTTGAGGACACATGGCCCAGTGGATAAAGACGTTGGTTAGATCCAATGACTAGATTCAAAGAGTTGTGAGTTCAATACCAGGCCACAGCAGAGGTGAACCAAAACTTGGAGAGTTGAGTTAAAGGGAAATGACTGAGACATCCAGGAGAGGCATGGAACGTGAAACTAGAACAATCTACCCCAGTGGATGAAATAAAGGGTTTGTTTTGAAATTCCAATCACCAGAAGAAGGCCAGAGTGTACAACAGCTGAAACATTGTGAATATGGCAATGAAGATAAGGATAACAGTTCGAATAATGTAAATAATACAAGTAATCATAATACTTCATCTCAGAGACATAGACAGATATCAAAAAAAAAAACAGGAAAGAAAAAAAGACAGTATAAATTCAAGAATGTCACAAAGGGACAGAAAGAGGAATATTAAATCGAAAAAGAAAGATGGAAAAAATAAGATTCTAAGAAAGTGAGAAGCAAAGAAAAATGAAGTAATAAGAAAGTGAAATGTAAAATATAACAAAAAACTGATTGCGAGGGAACCTGGGCTTTAGAAAGGGAAAAAAAAAAAAGTGGTAACTCAAGAATTGTTGGCTTCCTCAGTCCCACAGCTAAACAAGAATTAGAAAGCTGAAACTTCTTGCTGACTGGAGAATTTATTACCACAACATAATTAATCAGCATTTTGTCTGTTTGTCTAGAGTAGAAGAAAAATGAGGTACTGGGTTTGGAGATTTTACTGTTCCTTGCCTGTGTACCTGACAGATAGTATTTTCCAGGACAACATACATTCCATTTTGACACTTGACTAATTCACATTGCCAAAGAGATGACAGCAAAGATACCCTCACCCACACCATGTGTTGGGTTGTGGGTAGAGATGACGGATCCAAAGAACAAGAAGTGAATGTCAAGTTTTAAGGTTAGAGTAAACATACACACATACAAACACATTTACAAACAATGACAAACACACAATAGATCCCCCCACCAAATAATGGTAAATGCACATAAACACATTTACAAAAAAAATGGCAAACACAAACACATGTTCAAATGATGACAAATACATTATATGTCCTTCTATTCAGATTAATATATTCATGTCGGTTGTTATACTTAAAATATTTTGGCGGTTGTATACACTGTACTTCTTCAGGTGTTTTTTTTTACTCAGTAACCTTCTCGGAATTCCTTGAAATCAAAGTGTTGTATCTGTTCTTCTCTAATGGTAATAGCAATTTTAGCCATTTCTTTATAAGGAAATATTTCACTTTCACTGACTGAGCAGCCAGTATTGTTTTTGGTTGAAATTTCTAAAATCATTCTCTTAAAACAAATTTTCTGTAAATTAGTTTTCTCAAGTTCACTAGCTGTGATCACTCTTTCCAGTACTGATGGGGGGTACCTTCCTAACCTTTTGTCTGATGTAGTGCAGAGAACATTATTTACATTATTCGGACTCATCTTTGTTGCCATATTTATCACAACGTTTTGGACGTTGTACACTCCGGCCTTCTTCAGGAGGTTGGAATGTCGAACTGAACCCTTTATTTCGTTCACTGGGGTAGACTGTTCTAGTTCCACATGCCATGTTTTGATGGATGTCAGTTATCAGTCATCTCCTGTTAATTTCCCTCTGAAAGGGTATTGAACTTACACTCTTTGGGTCCTGTCACTGGATCTAACCAACGCCTTTATCCACTGTGCCATGTGTCCTTGAGGACATCTGGGTATGAATTTCTGGGTATTATAAACCTAATGTCTTCAGTAACCATTTTTACCAGTGCTCATATTGCAATTTTGCTGTTATCACTGCATGTTTTTTACCAGAGCTCATATTACAACTTTTGTTGTTATCATTGTTTTTCTCTGGCACTCCTTATTACTGGTTCCCATATTGTATTTATTTCTATGCTTGGTCAGCTCAGGAGATTTTTGTGGCCTAGCATATGTGCTGATTCCTTAAGTTTATGAATTTTCCAATGGTGTTCCTTGTCTATGATCTCAACATGATCCCACAGAGGGCGGTGATCTCCCTTCTGTCTCCATATGTGGTCAGCCACGCCTGATTTTTCTACTTCCTCTTGTGTTACAGTTTTCTGGTGTTCTTGAAGCCTTACCTTGAGGGGGCGGCCTGCCTCTCCTTTATATTTCTTTCTGCAGCTGTACAGGATAGCATACACACAGTCTTTACTCATGTTCTCCTGTATGGGGAGGGGTCTTACTCGGGAGAGATATCTGCGAAGTGTCATCAAGCTTTTGAAGGTTGTCCTGATGGACTGCAGATCCTTTGTATTTTCTTTGATAACCCCTTCACATAAGGCAGGCAGACTGTTTTCTGAGTGTTGTTGTCCTCTTCCTCTTGTACCCGCCTATTCCAGTTTTTGGGGGCTGCTGCCATGTACCCAGGGTAGTTGTTACATTGTAGGGTACTACTTATACTGACCAATTCCTTATCTAACGTCTCTGGGTCGCCACTTATGACTTTTGCTCGGTGTTGTAAGCAACGGACAATCCCTTTCTTTATACTGTATGGATGGTGGGAGTTGTCCAGTGAATGTTGGTTTACGGTATACAGATGTCTTAAACCCATGCTCTGTTTGAGATATTAGAACATCCAGGAATGGGAGTGTGTTGTTACTCTCTCCATTGTGAACTGTATCGAACGTCTTATTGAGTTCACATGGTCCAGTATAACCTGAACATCTTCCTGGTGTGGCCAGAGTATGAAGGTGTCATCTACGTACCTTAACCATATAGTTGACTTTAGAGATATAGATTCTAATGCCATTTCCTCAAAGTATTCCATGTATATATTTGCCATTGCTGGTGACAGGACCCAAAAAGTGTAAGTTCAATATCCGATTAAGGCAGTGGAGAACTTTCAGAGGGAAATTAACAGGAGATAACTGATAACTGACATCCATCAAAACATGGCATGTGGAACTAGAACAGTCTACCCCAGTGAGCGAAATAAAGGGTTCAGTTCGACATTCCAACCACCTGAAGAAGGCTGGAGTGTACAACAGCCAAAACGTTGTGATAAATATGGCGACAAAGATGAGGACAATAGTCCGAATAATGTAAATAATGTTCATAATACCTCATCTCAGAAATATAGACAGACTCTGTAGTGCAGAGAGTTAACATTTTGATGATATCATTATTTTTTCTTCTTGCTTCAAGTGTTATCTACTTTAATTGCTGCTTCTGTTGAAAGTCCTCAAATGATGTGATTTTTGTTATTTGGTTCAGTCCTTT